GCCATCTGCCCACCATTACTACTTTTTCTTACAATGGTCATACAATGTTTATGGTTTTACCAGTGTTTTGATAAATGAGAGCTGTCAGGAAGCAATGCAAACTCCTTCAAAGCAGCAGAGGTTGTGAACCCAAGTTAAAATTCTAAAATAAATTTCCCCATACCAAAAAAAAAGCATAGATGGATAGGTGATGATGGGTAGGTACTACGTAGATACATAGACCTAGGTACAAAAACACAGATTTCTTTTTGGATTTGTAAATTTTTAAAAAGATTTGAAAGGCAAATTTACAGAGGAAGAGAGAGATTATCCATCTACTGGTTCAATCCCCAAATGTCCATAATGGCCAGAGCTGGGCCAGGCCAGAGCCAGAAGCCAGGAGCTTCATATGGGTCTCCCACAGGGGTGCAGGGGGCATCTTCCTCTACTCTCCCAGGCATATTAGCAGGGAGCTAGATCAGAAGCAGAGCAGCTATGACCCAACTGATGCCCATATGGGATGCCAGCCTTTCTAGCAGTAGCTTAATCCATTACATTTGTACATCTGAAGAGGTCCAGGCCATTATACAGCAGGAATATGCCATACCATCAGTTGGCATCAATCCAAGTAGTTTTTATTTTCCTGTACAAAATTTTACTTGAAATACCAACATAAGTGATTTAGCACTGCCGCAGTACCATTCATCCAGTTTACTATTGTATATTTAGAGATTACTAAAAACAAAACACTGTTTTATGCCTAAAAATACACTAATGAAAAACCCTCCCTTTCTTCATCTTACATTGTAAAGAATGAGAAAAGCAATAATAAGACAGATAAGTAAATGTATAGTAATGTTTAATGTTACAGAGAGAAAATAAAGGAGATATAGAAATACTGATATGTGTGGAAGTGTAGATAATATAACAAGGAAATCACTCAAAGAGTAGATGATTTTAGTTTTTATGGAAAACTTATTTAATAAATATAAATTTCAAAAGTACAAATTTTGGGTTATAGCAGTTCTTCCCCCCATACCCGCCTCCCACCTGCAACCATCCCATCTCCTACTCCTTCTCCCATCCCATTCTTCATTAAGATTCATTTCTAATATCTTTATATACAGAAGATCAACTCTATACTAAGATTTCAACAGTTTGCACCCACACAGACACAAAGTATAAAGTACTGTTTGAAGACTAGTTTTACCATTAATTTGCATAGCACAACACATTAAGGACAGAGATCCTACAAGGGGAGCAAGTGCACAGTGACTCCTGTTGTTGATTCAACAATTGGCACTCTTATTTATGTCTTAAGTAATCACCCGAGGCTCTTGTCATGAGCTGCCAAGGCTATGGAAGCCTCTTGAGTTCACCAACTCTGACCTTATTTAGACAAGGCCATAATCAAAGTGGAAGTTCTCTCCTCTCTTCAGAGAAAGGTACCTCCTTCTTTGATGGCCCCTAAATAGACAATTTTGAATAAAGAGATCTTTTGCCAGAGTGTCTTGGCTTTCCATGCCTGAAATACTCTCATGAGCTTTTCAGCCAGCTCCGAATGCCTTTAGGGCTGATTCTGAGGCCAGAGTGCTATTTAGGACATCTGCCATTCTATGAGTCTGCTGAGTATCTCACTTCCCATGTTGGATCACTCTCCCCTTTATTTACTCCATTGGTTAGCGTTAGCAGGTACTAGACTTGTCTATGTGTTCCCTTTGACTCCCAGTCCCTTCACCATGACCAACTGTGAACTGAAACTGATCACCTGGAACAGTGAGATGGCATTGGTACATGCCACCTCGATGGGATTGAATTGGAATCCCCTGGTATGCTTCCAACTCCACCACTTGGGGCAAGTCAGCCTGAGCATGTCCCAGATTATACATCTCTTCCCTCTCCCATTCCCACCACCATGTTCAACAGGGATCACATTTCAGTTAATTTTCAACACTTAAGAATAACTGTGCATCAATTACAGATCTAAACCAGTCATATTAAGTAGAACAGATAAAAAAAAACTACTAAGAGGGATAATGTGTTAAGTTGTTCATTAACAGTCAGGGCTATGCTGATCAAGCCACCATTTCCCATAGTGTCCACCTCACTCCAACAGGTTTCCCTCTTGGTGTTCAGTCAGTTGTCACCGATCAGGGAGAACATATGGTATTTGTCCCTTTGGGACTGGCTTATTTCACTCAGCATGATGTGTTCCAGATTCCTCCATTTTGTTGCAAATGACTGGATTTCGTTGTTTCTTACTGCGGTATAGTATTCTAAAGAGTACATATCCCATAATTTCTTTATCCAGTCTATCGTTGATGGGCATTTAGGTTGGATCCAGGTCTTAGCTATTGTGAATTGAGCTGCAATAAACATTAGGGTGCAGACCGCTTTTTTGTTTGCCAATTTAAATTCCTTTGGGTAAATTCCAAGGAGTGGGATGGCTGGGTCGAACGGTAGGGTTATCTTCAGGTTTCTGAGGAATCTCCAGACTGACTTCCATAGTGGCTTGACCAGCTTGCATTCCCACCAACAGTGGGTTAGTGTCCCTTTTTCCCCACATCCTCGCCAGCATCTGTTGTTGGTAGATTTCTGCATGTGAGCCATTCTAACCGGGGTGAGGTGAAACCTCATTGTGGTTTTGATTTGCATTTCCCTGATTGCTAATGACCTTGAACATTTTTTCATGTGCCTGTTGGCCATTTGGATTTGCTCTTTTGAAAAATGTCTATTGAGGTCCTTGGCCCATCTCTTAAGTGGGTTGTTGGTTTTGTTTTTGTGGAGTTTCTTGATCTCTTTGTAGATTCTGGTTATTAACCCTTTATCTGTTGCATAGTTTGCAAATATTTTTTCCCATTCTGTCGGTTGTCTCTTCACTCTCCTGACTGTTTCTTTTGCAGCACAGAAACTTCTCAATTTGATGCAATCCCAATAGTTGATTTTGGCTTTGACTGCCTGTGCCTCCCGGGTCTTTTCCAGAAAGTCTTTGCCTGTGCCAATATCTTGAAGGGTTTCTCCAATGTTCTCTAGTAACTTGATGGTGTCAGGTCGTAGATTTAGGTCTTTAATCCATGTTGAGTGGATTTTTGTGTAAGGTGTAAGGTAGGGGTCTTGCTTCATGCTTCTGCACGTGGAAATCCAATTTTCCCAGCACCATTTATTGAACAGACTGTCCTTGCTCCAGGAATTAGTTTTAGATCCTTGATCAAATATAAGTTGGCTGTAGATGTTTGGGTTGATTTCTGGTGTTTCAATTCTGTTCCATTGGTCTATCCATCTGTTTCTGTACCAGTACCATGCTGTTTTAATTACAACTGCCCTGTAGTATGTCCTGAAATCTGGTATTGTGATGCCTCCGGCTTTGTTTTTGTTGTACAAGATTGCTTTAGCTATTCGAGGTCTCTTGTGCCTCCATATAAATTTCAGCACCATTTTTTCCAGATCTGAGAAGAAGGTCTTCGGTATCTTGATTGGTATTGCATTGAATCTGTAAATTGCTTTTGGGAGAATGGACATTTTGATGATATTGATTCTTCCAATCCATGAGCATGGAAGATTTTTCCATTTCTTGGTATCCTCTTCTATTTCTTTCTTTAAGGTTTTGTAATTTTCATCGTAGAGATCTTTAACGTCTTTGGTTAAGTTTATTCCAAGGTATTTGATTGTTTTTGTAGCTATTGTGAATGGGATTGATCTTAGAAGTTCTTCCTCAGCCATGGCATTGTCTGTGTATACAAAGGCTGTTGATTTTTGTGCATTGATTTTATACCCTGCTACTTTGCCAAACTCTTCTATGAGTTCCAATAGTCTCTTAGTAGAGTTCTTTGGGTCCCCTAAATACAGAATCATGTCATCTGCAAAGAGGGATAGTTTGAGTTCTTCCTTCCCAATTTGTATCCCTTTAATTACTTTTTCTTGCCTAATAGCTCTGGCTAGAACTTCCAGAACTATATTGAATAGCAGTGGTGAGAGTGGGCATCCCTGTCTGGTTCCAGATTTCAGTGGAAATGCTTCCAACTTTTCCCCATTCAATAGGATGTTGGCTGTGGGTTTTTCATAGATTGCTTTGATTGTATTGAGGAATGTTCCTTCCAAACCCAGTTTGCTTAGAGTTTTCATCATGAACGGGTGTTGTATTTTATCAAATGCTTTCTCGGCATCTATTGAGAGAATCATATGGTTTTTCTTCTGCAGTCTGTTAATGTGGTGTATCACATTGATTGTCTTGCGCACATTAAACCATCCCTGCATACCAGGGATAAATCCCACTTGGTCTGGGTGAATGATCTTTCTGATGTGTTGTTGCATTCTATTGGCGAGAATTTTATTGAGGATTTTTGCATCTATGTTCATCAGGGATATTGGTCTGTAATTCTCTTTCAGTGCTGCATCTTTCTCTGGCTTAGGAATTAAGGTGATGCTGGCTTCATAGAAAGAATTTGGGAGGACTCCCTCTTCTTCGATTGTTCTGAATAGTCACCCTTTTCTCTCTCTCTCTCTCTCTTCCAGTTAGCCTTGTGAACTTCCCCCCCCGGGGGTCGTTCCCTCTAGTCTCCTCTCTCCGCTTGCCTGCCGGTGTCTCGGGCTATTGAGGTTCGGCTCACCTCGCGTTCCAGCGCTGGTGTGTTGAGTCTGCCGCTGATGTCCCGAACTGTGGGCTCCCACGCTCTCCACGCAGGTCCGCTGTGAGTCACGCGTTCCGGAAGAGTTTCTTCTGCTATTTCCTCCCCTACTCTTCCTTGAACCTGCAGTATCTCCACTTTTATTAAACTATCTCTCCCCAGACTATCAGTGTGCTCCCTTCCTATTCCGCCATCTTGCCGGAAATCGAATAAAGTAATAGAGGAAGTTAATAGCCATGTGGACATCCAACATTAGTGTATGTACTGCTGAAGAATACACAACCTATGGATACCCAGAACAGCGAGGGTAGGGTCCCTTAGACAGAATGAGGTATCTAGAAACTTATCATTTAAAGTAAAATTAAAAATTCATACACACAAGTGGCTATGGGGAGTTTCTCAGGGTAAGATGATAGGGCAGGTGCATCTGCTAATAAGGCAGACTCTCAGTCTTGTGCAGCTGGTTCTGGTTGACTGTCAGTTGCAGGCTTGATGTTTCTGGCTGGTATCCAAATGGGCTGTTCCGCATTCTCTGGAAAGACACAAGCATATCCTCAACCCTTGGTTAGCAGAAGCCTTTTTACAGGCATTGGAATCCAGGGCCTGAATTCTGCGTCCGATCCTATATTAACGGCAAATATCATTAAATAAAAGTTAAAAAAAGAAATGCCAAAAAAAAAAACCCGGCAAATATATGGGTGGGATGGGGTTTAGCGGCTGCCCTGAAAGTCAGAGTTACACACAGAGAGAAGGAGAGCCAGTGAGAGAGAGGTCTTCCATCTGCTGGTTCACTCCCCAATTGGCCACAACAGCCAGAGCTGCGCCAATCCAAACCAGGAGATTCTTCCAGGTCTCTCACAAGGGTGCAGGGGCCCAAGGACTTGGACCATCTTCTACTGCTTTCCCAGGCCATAGCAGAGAGCTGGATAGGAAGTGGAGCAGCCAGGACTCAAACCAGCAACCATATGGGATGCTGGCACTACAGGTGGTGGTGGCTTTACCTGCTATGCCACAGCGCCGGCCCCCAAAATGTCTTAAGTTGGAAAGGGACCTCTGAAGGAAACATATAAGTTAAATTACTTGGGTTCTATCACTGGATCCAGTTTAAACAAATTTTAAAGAGATTTTATACTTTCCTAAATTTTTTTTATGATCCTCAAGAGGTAAGATCTGTTGCCCCCACTTTTAAAATCTGGAGTATTTGTGATATAGTGCATATCTGCAAGTTTTTAAAAAGATCATAATCTGGGGCCGGCACTGTGGCACAGCAAGTTATGCCCCGGCCTGAAGCGCTGGCATCTGATATGGATGCTCTACTTCCTATCCAACTTTCTGCTGTGGCCTGGGAAGGCAGTAGAAGATGGTCCAAGTCCTTGGGCCCCTGCACCCTTGTGAGAGACCTGGAAGAAGCTCCTGGCTCCTGGCTTCAGATCGGCATAGCTCCAGTCTTTGCAACCCATTGGGGAGTAAACCAGCAGATGGAAGACCTCTCTCTCTGCCTCTCCTCTCTAACTCTGACTTTCAAATAAATAAATCTTTTGAAGAAAATAAAGATCATAATCTAAAGTTTGTATATTTCAGCTGGCTCCATTCCCATTGTTACGAGCTCAAAGACAGTCTGTCTCTTTTGAGCATTTTAAATTAAACTTGGGTCTTGTATCTACTAATTATCTGTTGCTTATGAAGTTTTTTTTTCCCCACAGTCAACACCTTTTTATAGGCCACGCAACCACTCGCTCCAGAGACCTTTTAATCCACCTTCTCATCATCACAATTTTAGAAGCTTGTGCCCTTGGACACTCCCCAGCAACATTAAGTACCCACCTTCCTGATATGATGTGGCATTTTATTTTCATATATTTGCATGTTTTAAATTTATTTTAATCTCTTGTAATCCTTTTTATGATAACTTAGATGATATCAATGTTTTTAATATTCTATGGATCCACAAATCTATGAATAAAATGACATTTTATAGTATATCTGTTTTTATTACATTTCTAATTAAGCTAAGCTACATCAAGCTAGTTTCTAAGATGCTGGGCTGAGTTTCCAGGGACGTAGAGACTGCAAATAAATTTAATACCAATATTGTTTTCAATATCTATTGAATATTTAATAGTTGAAAACTAATCCTAGTCATATGTAATATGGCCAGTAAGCTCACATAAAAGATAGTCAATAGAAATTGAAACCCATAAGAAGCAGAGAGCACAGATGGGAGAATGAACAAAATGTCTATTGACATTCTTCTTACCAAATTATTCTACAAGTTTAAATGATTTGGCCTGAGCTCGGTTGACACGCTACTCCATCAATCATCTGGGCACATTCTCCTGAGCAATGTCAGTAACCCCTCCTTCATGAGTCTTAAAGATTCTGTGTTAACTGAGCTTGTTGAACACAGCACAACAAAAGTTGAGATCATGTCTGCATATAATTCATCAAGGTCATCATCTTAAATTCAAAGGGCTGCCACTGTGGTGCAGTAGGTTAAGCCTCTGCCTACAGCACTGTCACCCTATGTAGGGGCTGGTTCTTATCCTGTTTGCTCCACTTCTGATCCAGCTATGTTTCTTAGCCCCTGTGTTGTTTGGAGGATTGAAAGGGTAGAGTCCTGATTCACTAAAGCAAGTTCACCTCATTGCTTTGTCTCCAACCACTGAAACTTCCTCTTCTGATATCGAGATCGGCTGATCCTCAAATCATCCAGTAAAAGAGAACCTCTACAACTCATGAAGACTGAAAGACAATTTAACAGGCATCTTCAAATGTCCAGAGAAGACAGATGCTCTAAGGGACTCTCAAATAGCACAAGTCCCATTTATCAGCCTTATTTTCTTTAAGATTGTTTATTTGAAAGGCAGAGAAAGAGAGAGAGAGAGAGAAGTCTTCCATCCACTGTTCACTCTCCAATTGGCTGCAGTGGCTGGAGCTGTGCCGATGCAGAGCCAGAGCCAGGAGCTTCTTCTGTATCTCCCATGTGGGTGCAGGGGCACAAGGACTTGGCCATCTTCTACTGCTTTCCAGGCCATAGCAGACAGCTGGATCGGAAGTGGAGCATCCGGGACATGAACTGGTGCCCATATGGGATGCCTGCACTGCAGGCAGCGGCTTTATCCAGTATGCCACAGCACCAGCCCCTATCAGCCTTATTTAAGCATAAAATGTGAAGCTTTACAAGGTTGAGCTAATATGTCATTCTCTAATGAATTTCAAAATGCATGGTTTTTTTTAAGATTTATTTATTTATTTATTTGAAAGACATGGCTACAGAGAAAGGGAGAGATTTTCTATCTGCTGGTTCACTCTCCAGGTGGCCACATGGCTAGGGCTGGGCAGGCTGAAACCAGGAGCCAGGAGTTTCATCCATGTCTCCCACATGCGTGGCAGGGTCCCAAACACCTGAGCCACCTTCCAAGGCCATTAGCAGGGAGCTGCATCAGAAGTGGAGCAGCTGGGACACAAACCAGTGCCCATATGGGATACCAATATCACAGATGGCAGCTTAACATGTTACACCACAATTCTGGCCCTTACTTAGCACTTTTTAAGAAAATGGGACTAATTATGTCATATTCTATATTCTACTTTAGAAAATAACCTTTTATTTTTAAGGATTTATGTATTTATTTTTAAAGGCAGAGTGGCAAGGAGAAAAAGAAGACAGAGGGACAGATACAGAAAGAGGGAAAGAGATCTTCCATATACTATTTCACTCCCCAAGTGCCTCCAACACTCAAGGCTGGACCAGGCTTAGCCAGGAATTAGGAGTTTCATATAAGTCTCCCATGTGGGTAGTATGAACTCAAGTACTTGGGCTATCATTTGCAGGACTTAATCCCCATCCCTGTAACTTATTTTTAAGTGCAATAACCAGAGACCTTCTCATAATCCCTTTTTAGTTGGCACTCTATTTTTAACTTTATGTGAAATAAAGTTTATGAATAAAGCTCTATCATTATTGACTATAATTCAAAAAAGTTGGATGAAATGTCCAAGCTCTGGGGCTTTCCAATGTTAGGAGTCGGAAGATGAAGAGGAATCAGCAGAGAGCTACAGAGAAGCCCACAAGGTTGTAGTGGAGGAAGTCAGGAGAGTACAGTATGGCCTTGGAGTCAACATGGAGTACAAGGAGTGAAAATAGTCAAGTGCTGATGAAGACAAAGTAAGGTGAAGGCTGAAAAGCAAACATCAGACCTAGCAATGTAGACAGTAATACATGACCAACAAAAAGCAATTTTGGTGTAAGGTGGGAGTAAAATTCTAATTGGAGTTAGTTTGAGAGAGAATGGTAAAAAAAGGAATTTAAGAGTATTGGCAACATTCTGGAGTAGCATAACTGATGAGAGGAAGGGAAATATTTTGACAGCTACAGAGAGAAGTGGGCATAAGAGAACTGCAGATGACAAAGAACAAGAGGAAGTTAAAAATATTGATGTAACTTTGAAGCTTAGTGGTAATTACATGGGAGCTCAAAATACAAAAGCAGAAAAAAGCCTATAATAAAAAACTAAAATGTAAGACTTCTTCATTTCAAAGTTGCTGAAGGATTACATGCATTACATGAACCAGCAAAGACTATAGTCAAGCCAGTTTCCAACTTAGAACTGACATGACCCTATAGCATTGGCAAGGCAGAACCCCTTGAAGTGTATTTACCAATATTTGGAGTCATAGGCTACCAACCTCAACCTCTGTCTTTAGTTCCTGCTTCTTTGTGTTATGGAAACTGAAGCAATCATCTTTTGGAACCCAAATAAGAACACTGTCTCTTAATCCCTCTCCCCAGTCGTCTTCTACCTCTCCATGCAGATCTCTCTGGTATTGGTGAACATTTAGTTTAGATGGTGAAATAGAAATTTTCCATGCTCAAAAAACTTTTATCCAAAATATAGTCAAATAGAAGTAACAAGTTGTGTTCCTACAGCACAATGGAGTGACTATAGTTCATATTAGTGTATTTTATTCTTATACTGTAACCCATAAAAGTGTACAAATATTACATGTTAATAAAAATTTTCATAAGTAACATAATTTTTTAAAACTTTTATGGGTTGGGCATTGTGGAACAGCAGGTTAAGCCACCACTCAGAATGCCCACATTCCATATTGGAGTGCCTGGTTTAAGTCCTAGCTATTTCACATTTCCCATCCAGTTCCCTGTTGATATACCTGGGAGGCATAGGGTGATGGTTCAAGTACTTGGGTTCCTGCCTTTTTTGTGGAGGCTCACATGGAGTTCCTGGTTCCTAGCTTCCATATGACCCAGCTCTGGATCAGTTCTGGATATTGTAGACATTAGGGGAGTGAAACAGCAAATGAAAGATCTCTCTTTCTCCCCCTCCCCCTCCCCCTCCCCTTCACCCTCCCTTTTCCTTCTCCTCTCCTCCCTCTTTCCCTCTCTCTCTCTCCCTTTCCTTCTCCTTCTCTCTCTGTCTGCCTTTCAAATAAAAAATTAAACCTTTAAAAAGATAACTTTTATCAGAAGACACTACACTGGGTAGATTTTAATCACTCTGTCTGGTTCTT